GTCACTCTTTTAATCTCAAAGAGCACGAGCAGCAAAAATTTATCTAAAATTTAAAATCTTTACCGCATAAAGCATCTAAGCCTTCCACACCAAACATATTGAACTCAATCAAACAATAACAATGCCTCCGAATTCGGGAATTCATCAGCTGATTTGTTGTTATAATCGATTTTTTGCAAATCTAACACAATGTACGCCACATTGCGGTTTCGCACAACCAAACCGCAAATGTGAATGTGTAATATCCGACTTACTGGGCATGAGATGCACAGATGTTGACACACCAGTTTATCCAAAGTTCAGTGCAATTGGTGGAGCAGGAGGGGGAGTGGCCGAGCTTAGTGCTGACTGCACACGCAAACCAAATATACGACACGCATGCCATACAATTTATTGCTTTGCCGTGTTTTTGTGCGCCTTTGCGTGTGCCTGTGCAACTAAATTCATTAAACTCCAATAAACTGCCTTTGTTAGCCGATTCTGGAAATAGTTGACGAAACGAACCAACAATGAGATGATGCATGCAATCGTATCGTTGCGACCGACAATGACAATATAAAACCGTTACAATAGCACGAACAATCAAAATAACAACAACGCATTGGTAAAATGCAGCAGGGTTGACATTTGATTCCGCGGTCGCCGCAGCCGCAGCCGCAGCTTCAGCTTTTCTGATATGCATATACAATGTACCTAAAAAATGCATACTTCTGTTTGTATATTCATGTGTGCGTACACAGCATGGTACAAAAACAGAGTTGGTTGCTCGCTGTCGTCTGCTCTGTTCGCTACGCCGCTGTGGGGAGCAAAGCAGGCAGCAGCCAGCAGTCTACAAATAAGGTATTGGCGTTTAAGTGGGCGACATGGCTGCAGTGGAAAACAAGTACCGAAACACGTTTAAGTGCTATTTGGCCAACGCTACACACGCTTACGTTTATATATGTATGTATATATTCGTACGTACATACATATATCTATGCGTTGCTGCTGGCACTTTAGCCATTAAGTGTTACATACCATATTGGTCCATAAGCTGCTCTGCTACTCGCCGTATGCATTCTACTTACATATACACATACATAGATTCATATATTATGCTTTGCAGCGCATGTATGCAATTTTGTTCTGCTCTTCATAATGTTTTTCGTAATATTTCTGTTTTATTTTCACGTGTTATTCTTGTGTTTACTTTACACTACATATTATTTTCAATAATAAATCACGCACACACACTCACACCCAAAACAAACATTTACAGTGCACTATTATTTATATATTTTCTTACATTTTCATTTCAAATTTATGATATAAACACTGCTTACTTTGAAATATTTGTTGCTGCTTTTAAGCCACTATCGCTGCCTTCTTCTAACCTTTTCATAAACTTGCCAAAATCGGTTGACTGACCTTTTCGCCAGTATCAGTTTATTATTATCATTTCCTATGCTCTCTGCTCTAGTTTATTTTATTGCTTAACTCTTAGCAACATCACTCACACGCTTCTTTTCATTTAATACACATATTTTGCAACGTAACTATTTTTGTATATAAATATGTATCTGCGAATTATTTTGTAAAAAACAAAAACAACACTTCTTCTGCGCTTGTTCTTTTGTATTGGTTTGTTGTTATTGTTTGGTATCCGTTTCCGCACTCTTGTCTCGCACAATATTCAATTCACATTACGGGACGCGTACACGAAACAACCGACACCGACACTTTGCAACACTAAACTAAAATCACTGGCAGAGCCAACGTTGCTACGAACGTCCGATTAACTTCACACTAACGTTTAGTTAACACTTGAAACACCCTGTGTTGGCATCATTTGGAAAGTAGTACGACTAGTCGGAGTGAATATAAATATTTGTACGCATAAATATGCGCTTTTATTATTTCCTATAACGTGCTGTCTATTATTAATTAATATCCATTAAAAATAAGTGAAATAACTATATTTTGTATTTAGCAGTGCACTAGATTCCTATTAGAATTCAATTCGCACCATTTCTTTTATTCCTCTTCACATTGACTTTCCGTTTTGTTTATTTTGCCACATGCGCACTATGCAAAACAATATTATACAGCGTTCAGAATACGACAACTAACAGCTGAGACAATATAAAAGGGATATTCACAACAAGTTGCACAGAGTAGTGCAAACAGTAAAGTAAGAAATCGATCAAATACGAAAACATGAGTTCAAAGTTAAAATTATTGAATGTTGCAATGAAGAGCACAAACTTTGAAATTTTTTGGCGAGATGTCAATTGTCAACAGGCAAGATTTGAATCATTTAACTATATAAAAGTTCAGTATTTCCATATAGAGGCTGTGCTACTACAGAGCAAGTTTTAGCTTATGAAAAACGATTTTTAATCCAAAAATGTAAAAAACACGTTTATGTTTTTCTTATGCATTTCTTATTTTCATTTTTTTGAGTATGTATGACTTACAATTCGTTTGAATAATAACTACTAGTATACCTAACAGGATATTCTCAGAAAGAGCAAAATAACGAAAAAGTGAAACAATGAAAATTAGGAAGCAAGAAACATCAAAATCTTGATTTTTATAATCACATCATAATTTATCATTGATTTTTTTCACAATTCAAAACTATAAAAATAGGCAAAATGCGTCATTGTATAGTATATTGCATGTTTACACATGCGTTAGAACAGCTGTTTCTTCAAATTTCACTATCAAACTATCCTTATATTAGAGAGGGTATGTTATACATTTTAGTCACAGCGACTATTAAGATATTAACCGATTTATACGGTATAAAGAACCGGAAGTTCGAAATTCTTTATATTAGGGATATGGGTTTATGGAAATTTCATCTATTTTTAGCAAAAAGCTATGCTGTTATCATAAAATTATTTTCTTCAGATATCAATACTAGACCTCAAATATTGACCGCTATTGTCGATAAAAAGTTAGTGCGTAACAGTCTTATTGTGGCAACGAACATACATACGACTTTAATTTGGCACGGATGAACGGACAGGCATTCACCTGGAACACTCGTCTCGCATTCCCGATAATTTATATATGTATATAACCCTATATCTATATCGATTAGTTTTAGGTGATACAAACAACCGTAGGTGAACACAACTATAATAGTCTGTAACAACATGTTACGAGAGTATAAAAATCAATAAACAGAATATCATAACTATTATACAACGGTCATGAAGACAGTGGCAAAAAAATTTATCAGCTTTGAAACTGTGCAYATGTTACAAATTTTCGATGCGTAAACAATGGAAATGCCATCGAGTACGTACAAACATATATACATACACACGCTGATTTGAAGACAAGCGGTGCGCTTCATGTGCCTTAACCGAACTAACAGAATCATACAGAGTAACGGATCAGTACTCAAGTATAAACAAAAATGTATTACTCGTTGCAGTTTTCTGATACAAATATACATACAATGAAGAGAGGAATTGCAATAATAAAATATACGGGCATATTCCAAAAACCGAATGTAATTGATGTGATTTCGTTTTAACAAACCAAATGATTTTGTTGATTTCGAAATCTTTACATTTGACACCAAAACAGCTGTTTGAAGCAAATAACTCTATGTGTTTGAGGTTTCAGAGCCAAGGTTGTACTGGTAGTGGATAGTTTAGTAGGTGCATAAGTTTTCATTATCAATCAAATTTCACAAGATAAATTATGTTAGTTTATCAGGCTGATATTAGTAAAGTAACCAATGTTACTGGACAGCTAGGACGTGAGTTCAGTGATTAAAAGACCGTCGCATATCAACGAAGCGCCTTAAGGCTGTCAAAAATTTGTTGAGGCTACAAATACCAATTCCAGCCACTATGCCCAATTCCTAGAAGGTCACTATTGAGGTATTGCAGCCAGTGGGACAGTGGACGTAAGACAGTGTCCTTGCTGAAAAGAAGTAATTAGGCAGACTCTTACGTTCCGCTTTGATCCAGAAAATTGTCACCGATGCACAGGTGGTGCTGGTTAACCAATGCTTTTTAGCTCACATAATGTTCACAGAGCAATTGCTAAAATTCAACAGGCCTGTGGAGCCCTTTGTTGCAAGCTGCACTTCGAAACAGTATATAAATTACTACCTTAACTGCAAAACTCCTAGTTGAAAAATACTTCAATGATCTGCTGGTATTCTGAAGCTAAAGTTAATTTACAGCTCTTGACAGAAAACTGTCCCTCCAACCTTCTTCCGCCCATACAACCCTTGTTTGCATGAAGAAACCACACATTATAAGTTTTCCGTTTTTAAATTACATTTAGATATGTGTACTGCAATATCACATCAAAATTATTCGGTATCTAGAGTATCATCACTTTGTTTGTTCACAGTGCTTCCTCTTACGTAAAAAAGTATTTGTCTAAATATAATATCGAAATCTGTTGTCTTTGATTTTATTTGAAATCTATTTACAACTTACCTTCCTCAAAAATTTAACGGTAAAATATATCTTTATTTTAAATGATTGCTGACACAATTGCCATTCTTTTTTTACGTGTCATTGCACGAGAATAAACGTGTGTTTTGTTCTTGCACCAATTGAAAAATTCCAAAATTCTGCTCTACATGCACCGTGCAAGGGTTTTGCAAGAGCAAGAGGATACTCCTATAAATTCACACAAAACTTATGCTTCGCTTTGCATCAGACATTTGTTTTAACAGAAAGCAAAGCGTTTATTCTGACTTATCTTGTGCAGACAAAATTGGTCAATTTGCTTCTACAAGTTCTGTTATGTGTATAAAAAAGTTAGAGAAAGTTTCCCTTAAATAGGAGTATTTTAATATTCCCGTAATAAAGCAAATTGTGACTAGTTAAATTATAAATTAAAATGCAAATTGCAAAATTTCAAGCATTTATTAAGAAAGACGTATGTGAACAGACCTTTATGTATTTGCATTTAAACAGCTGATACATTGCCCTCAATGTTAGTGAAAAGCATTAAGAAAAGGTTCTGTGCAATCTAAAGTGAAAAAGATGAGTGAAATTGTAAACAAATACTGCTCAAGCATTATCATTACCCATCGTTTACACATTAAACTTCTTTATCTTCCATCTATAAAAGCAAAAACAAAAAAAAAATATATAACGCCAGTTTGAAGATGCAGTGGATTGCTTTATATACAGATAAAAAATTATAAACAATAAAGAAAGTATTGAATATTGCAAAAAAAGAAAGATTTTACACCTTCGCAATTCAAGGTCATAACCCGGTTATTAAGACGGGGTATTGCGTTGCAAAAGTGCAAAATTAATCATCAGTGCTGCCATACTAAAAAAACTGAGTTAAATAAATTGCAACATTCACAACGTAGAGTTTGCACTAATTAACTGAATATGGCAATATTATAGAAATTTTAATCACTACGGAGTTCTTGCTGAAATTTTGCGTGCTGTTCGTGCTGTTTTTTATAAAATATGAAGAGGAAATTACAACAAAAAAGAATTAAGAGATGGACGCAATGCGAAATAAGTAAAATTATTGACTATATGGCAGAACATGGAAATTTGGAGGTATTCATATATGAACTTTTATCATGTAACTATTTAAACTAACAAAAGTTGACTTTAGAAACCAACAGCGCGAATATACTATGAAACATTCCTAGAAATTACGCCGATCGATGCAACTTGGGATTTAATAAAATGGAAGGTGCGTTATTTGAAAACACTCTACGCAAAGGCGAATCAATGGTTGGATTCTTCCGAAGCTAAATCACTAAGTGATGAACAGGTTGTTGGTAAATAAAGAGTCATAGACTTAAAGTTGAAATGAAAACTTCTAATGAAATTAATGATATTTCAGAGCGTTTAAAGAAAATATGTCCACACTATGAGCGTTTACGAAAGATTTTTGGTGTGAAGCAAGCGCAAGTTGTGGAGATTCTCGACTCGAACGACTCATTTCCTGAAGGTTTTATTGATGAATTTGAGGAAAATAATGACATGGCGGTGGATGTAAAGGTATTCGCTGATTACAATGGATTTGAAAACCTTTATCAAGATGAAACTGAAAGCATGAATTTTGAAAATAAATTAAGCCCAGAAGTGGAAATTACACAAATGTCAACTAATTCTACACCAGCACTCTGCGATGTATTACATGAACAGTTAATTGCAGACGAAACGGCAACTGCAGAAACTTCGGCAAACACCAAAGATGCGAGCAGCGAACAAACAATTGCAAAGCGTTTAAAAAAAGAATCGCTGCGACATTCACTATCCGCTTTAAGTCAAAGTCAGGAAAGCCGCAATGAAATGCAACGGCTACGATTGAAATTTGAAGAATATAAATTCGTGCAGGAATTTCAATTTGTTAAACAGAAATTCGAAGCCGAAATGGAATTAAAAAAACAAGAACTCGAATTAAAAAAAATGGAAATAGAGAGTAATGAAAAGCTAAAACTCATGGAGATTGAGAAAAGCGAACGAATTGCTAAATATGAATTGAGTTTGAAATATAATGGACACAACGATAGTTTGCGCTCAGATTAGTGGTCATGAAAAATGTTCTGAGTTGAAATTATTTTCATTCCTGCTTAATGTTTTGTTGCTTTGACAGGTTGTTGTATAACCTTTTTTTTTTTTTTGCTTACAGTTACACAAATACGCAAACACCAAAAAATGGTAAATCTAAAATGTATGTACATATATATACTTTTTTAATTTTTTATTATATGCTTGTGATAACATTTTTTTTCAATCCGGTATTTAGCTTTAAACATTATTTTTAATTAACACTTTCGGAATTGCAAACAAATTTTAATTAAATAATTAAGCAAATAACACCATAAATATTTTCTATTGCAAAAGTCTCAAATATCTTTGAGAATTATTTTAAATCGGTGTTATTGTGTAGAGTGGATAGATGTCCGAACGAATGCATTTAAGCAGTACATTACTTTTTGTAGTTATACGGAGTAATGAAGTAGAATATGGAAACCAAAGCAATTGTTAGCGCCAGGCCAATCATCAAAGATTTTGCATAATTTTTTTTTTTATAAAAATATAATAAACGATTATTTAATAATTTAGAAACTATAAGTCTTATTCGTGGCATTGAATTATATGTATTGATTAATTGCTTTTTACAATATATTTGCACTATTATTATTAGTTTAGGAATATACATTCATATTTATATTTTTAAAATATTTAAAATTTGCTGCATACACTTTTACCACAATACACGTAAAACTCTACAACTAAACAAAATTGTAAATAAAACGCAAAGTATTTAATAAATTATCAATATTTATCTTGCCGCCTTCAAAATAATCGCCACCAGATGTAAAAACTTTTCATAAGGAATTTTTGAATATGGGTGCGGCTTTATCAGCAGCAATCGAGGAGAACGCATAACCAGAATAACCACCAAAATTATTCGATTTAACTCGCGCGATTTGTCGAGCCCTCTTATCATCTTCAACAGTTGAAGAGGTCGAAAATCGTGAAAAAGGCTTTGTACCACTCGTAGGCTTGGGTTTTTGAAAAAACTGCATCACCGTAAGCCTCTTCCAACATTCGCAACGATTCCGCTAATTTGAGACAAGTTCTTCATTTGATTTTTTTCATTGTAAACATGTAATGCTAGACATAACTGAAATGTACCGACTTAAGCAGTTGCTGTAAACAACCGGTTGACAGAACTCGCTCATATTTGACTTAGTAGTTAAGGTCGTCGGACTCGTGGCTAGGCTCCCACGTCACTATTGACTGCCATAACTTCGAAGTTGCATATAATTTCGTCTACCTTGGAGCCAGCATTAACAGGAACAAAAGTGTCAGCTTCGGAATCCTCGACGAACAAAAACCAAACTCTACAAGTCATTCATTATTCCCGTCCCGTGGTGCAGAGGCATGGACGATGATAATATTCGAGAGAAAAGTTCTGCAATTATGATCATTTGGCCGTTGGCCACGGCTAATATCGCATTCAGTGGAACCATAAGCTGTATGAGATATACAACCTCATTGACGTAGTTCAGCGAATTAAGAGACAGCGGCTGAGCTGGCTAGGTCGTGTCGTACGTATGGACGAAAACACTCCAGCGCTGAAAGTATTCGACGCAGTACCCACCGGAGGAAGCAGAGGATTTCCACTCCGTTGAAAAGACCAGGTGGAGAAAGACCTGGCTTCGCTTGCAATTCCAATTGGCGCCATGTTGCGAACAAAGAGAAATGACTGGTTCGCTGTTGTTAACTCGGCTATAATCGCGTAAGCGGTATCTACGCCAGTAAAGAAGAATAAATTAAGTTCAGTCTTATCAACTTTTTTACATTATAAACCCATGGAATTTTATTACAATTTTCGGATGCTTTTTTGTCACAATATATAAATGGCTTGTTTACCTAACGGTTAATTATATCACTTAAAACATATTGTGATATAGAGTCTTATAAGTAGGTAGGTTGCCTTTTATACATCGGTTTTTTGAGTGCTCAAAAATGCGGTTGTTAAGTTTTTTCAAAAAGCCGTGCATTGGAAACTAAGATACAAAACCGTAATTTGGAAAGGGGATCGCATTAGAGAGGGGTAGACATGGTCTAATAGTTTTAGTATGGACATCTCTCGAACCTCTAATATATATACATATATACATATATCAACCAAACTTTTTGGGGACGAACACTTTTGGTACTGCTACTGTTTAACTTCTACATCTGGAAAATCCCTTCTCTAAAGCTAAAGAGTAGTAACAGAATCCGTAAGTCGCTAGCAGGCACTACCTTGGTGAAGTATTGAAGAATATTGCTGGGAACTCGACCGTCCATTCATACGCAAACCAATATGGTCGCCTGGATGTAGTAGGACGCAGTTGAAGAAGACATAGACCTGCCAGTACACTGTTCTTCGGATAATTATTGTATGTCCGTTGATATTCCACATTGAGTATCTGAACGGTGAGGCCTTTATGCTCCTGGTTAAGTTGTATAACGCACTCCTATCGGATTCCCCGCACAATACTAACCACCCCTTACACGCATCACATAACCAAGTCACCTATAATCGCTTTCCTTTTTCATCGTCGTCCGTTCGTTTCCAACCCTTCAAAACATTCCGTTTTCTGGACCTTCTATTAAGTGACTTCAGTTTAAATTAGCGCTGTCCATCAGGCTTTAGCTGTTCACTACAACAACAATAGCTCCTCAAAATATTGTTTCTGTAATAGCCTCTAAACTTTTTCTAGGGCGTTTTTGAGAGTCCACCAATACAGTTAAGTATTGTAACTTTTTATTATATTTTACTTTTGTCGATATGTTTGTGAACTGAATTAGATTGGGGTATATTTCCTATTCCTAGAGTTTAGAGGGCACAGCATGAATATTAGAAGGACATGTCAGTGAACTCTCATGCATACTCTTGTCACTTGGTACGAGAGAACCAACCGGACATTTTGACGGAAGCAATCATTGCGGCTTTGAATAAGTTTGGTGTTGAATCGAACTTTAAGCATTTTATCTTCAAATTTGTCTGCGATCGTGGCGGAATGGAGTAGTACGTGTAGTAAAATGTGGACATCTTGTCATGGAGAGTTCCCTGGCCACTTTTCTAGATCATGGTTATCAATGATCTGGTAAAGTTTAAGGAAGTCGGTTGCTGGGCGATTGCCTTCCTTCTGGTTTTATTCACTGGTTTGGTAAGGTTCGCATCTACCATGGGAGATGGGAGAAACGTGTATAGGGCCTACTGACAGTGTTCAGCACTTAGAACGAATTTCCGTTTCAGCTGAGAACAAGCCTTCAATTTTTCAAGCTCTTGGAAGAGATTTCTGTTTGAATCTTCACACATATGTACTTAGCTACAGCTGTTGGTCTCCTTGTTTTTTTGATTTTACCACATTCACAGTGCACGTTAAAATTTGGTAAACAATAAATTATTTTCCACAAATATTTATTGATTATACAAATATTAGAAAACTACTGTTACAAAGTTACGCTTGCTCTTAACATTATAAGAACTCTAAAGAGTACATTCTAAAATATAATATATAAATAGCCTTTATTATAGCCGTGACTGTAATCAGCTGGTAGCACATAATACATATAAGTCGACTGCACGTGTAAAGCAAGTGTGTGTGTTGCATATACCGAACTGCCGAACCACCGAATTGTTTTGATGCGCTTTCGTTTTTGTTTACATTTCCAGTTTCGGTGAGCGGGCAGAATGCGAGGAGAAACTGATTTTACGTTTTTGTTTTGAGTTTTCCTTCTAAACAAGAGCACACACATTTATATGTATAAATAAACGAACTTATATGCATGCGCTCGCATGTGCACACGAGTATGTATGCGTGGGGATGTGTTCAAGTAGTTTTGATTCATTTGGCCTCGACCGTGGCCACTTTCGTTATGTCGGTGCTGTTGTTTACAGTCTGTGAGTTATCGCTGTTAATCGCTGACTTTTTGGGGGGTATGTAAAACCACAGTGCGCCAAAGAAGAATATAACAGACAGCGTTTTGCCCACCAGCGCCAGCAACCACATATACCTAAAATGTATGAGAATCATTATTATGTTTTTTGTTTTTTTTTATAATATTAATTTTTACTCACTTGCTCATATTGTAGTTGTCGTAGACCAAACAAGCCCCCACACCGCTGCCGTCTTCATCGCAAGTCTCCTGCCAAAGAATGCATGAATCATCAATGAGCTTGCCGAAAATCATTGGCGCTGGTATAGTGCCGAAAAGCCGCACTTTTATCCACTGTATGCCGAGGGCAAAGGAACGCTGATCGTCGCGCACACACCTGAAGTTGTTGTGATTAAAATATCATATGTGTATAGTAAAGGTGCAGTGAGCATTAAAAGGAGAAAAAATTTGAAACAAAAATTATAAATAAAATATAAAATTAAACGCATTTTGAATATAAAATTAATTAGAAAACAAATAAGGAATCGCTAAGTGCGTGTGTCACCGAACACTTTATACACTCTCAATTTGCAATGATCAAAAGCAGGGAAATATTTTCAGATATTGCCAAGTCTTTATAATCCTTAAATTTTTTCAATAGTTAGTAGTCAAATAGTCTTAGAGGTAGAACCTTCTAACATCAGTTCAGTTTTATCAGACAATCAGTTTATCTTTAAACACGTTTTTAATAACGGGTTATCCAAGAAGAGCAACTTTTTCAATAGCCTTTCTTCTTCTTTCACGCAGTAAAGAAAATATAGCAGAGAATCGATTCGGCGCATTTGGCACATTTTACGTTGAGATCTTAAATTGAAAACCTACAAAATACAGCTTCCTAAGCGACATCACTTCTCCCTATGAGCTCTTTAAAAGGTAAAAGAAGAAACAAAGTTTTCAACCCAAATTTTGTTCAGCGAGGTTATCCATTTTTGACTAAATGGGTATGTAAACAAGCAATATTGTGGCATTTGTGACGAAGAACAACCTAATGAAATTCAAGAGCTGGCATTTCATTTAGAGAACACAACAATTTGGTGTGGTGTGTGAGCCGGTGGAAGCATCGGTATTTTTTCGAAAATAATGTCAGTGAGAACGTAACGGTACATGGCGACCGTTATCACGCCAAGATAACCAACTATGGTATATGAAAGTCTGAAATTGAAGCCCATGATCTCGGAGATATTTGCTTTCAACAAGATGGCGCCACTTCCCACATATCGCATCAATCAATGGATTTATGGAGAGAAAACTTCGGTGAGCAGAAAATTTCACGTTTTGGTCCGGTTGAT